GCTCACGATTCAACCCCATAACTTGGCCTAAACATAATCTTATAACTTAGTGTAAACAACACAAATCGCGCTCAAATTTCGCAACGGAACCTCAAAATAGTCAAACTTTACGATAGTGGCGTCAGTTGCTAGATTGCTACACTAGTGTTGCCAAATCTCAAAATATAAAAGGCAGCCCTCGTACTACTCTACCCCCGTCTGAAGACAGTTATCATTGATTCCATGCTCAAGTTTGATCTAGCATCGTTGCGATCCTTGGATTGAGTTGAGTGAATTGCGCATATCGGAACGAGTAAGCCTTGACCATCGATCAATATGTATCGGTAGAATATTACTAAGAAGTACAGCGAAAAGGTAGGCATCAATGGAAAAACATTTCAATGACACGGCAACTTTACGAAAGTAGAGATGAGATGAGAAATGTTTCTCGACAGACAACTCGATCGCTCTCCCTTTCCTGTTCTCGACAGCCGTGGCGACCGCCAAAACAGCCATGGCACTCGTGAAAGATGGTATCATTATGTTCTTCGAAAGGAACAGTAAGAAGTAACAAACTATTGTTACAACGTTATCAACCAATTTCATTATAAAAGAGGTATATCCGTGTCTATCACAAAATTCACTTTATCCGAAGATCCTAAAGACTTGGACCAGGTTGAGTTCGGAGGGGTATGAACCAAAATGTATGGTTCCAAATAATATGAAAGCCCATTTGTCAAGAAGAGCAGATATACTGGTTAGGAAAATAAATTGACATAGCCAGAATTAATATTCCTCTTGTGTGTGTTTGTAGAGACCATTTACGCATCCATTCGAACCGACGATTCTGAATGGAAGAGGAGAGCGTGGCGCAACCCCAAAGGTGCACGGATGACGTTGATCCGGGAAGCCCTCATCATCACATCATGTGTCCAGTCATGTTTCATAATATGGCCTGGTCTGAGGATGGGCGAGAAAGCTAATGCCGTCAGTACTCGTCCGCTTTTGGGTGTGGCATACAACTTATACAAACTTTGACCTTACAACGCTCTATTTAGGCAGTTTTCCGATCTGAGAGCGCCGCGTATGGTATGTGAGGCCACAGATTTATCTCAATGGGATATCTATTAGGGTGATCTGAGTCATACTCAAAAAATTTTGAAAGGAAAAGGTAAGGCGAGGCGGTCAAGATCGAATCATTGTCGATTGATTGATTCTCAATGCGTGTCACATAACCCTTGATTTATTTGCTCCATCAAACCGAGTAAGTTAGTGACGCCTTTTTTAGGTATTATAATGGATTGCTCCTTGGACGGTAATCGCCATGACCTTGACCGATAAGAACAAAAGAAGTAAAGTACGGAATATCTGAATACCGTTCTTTCCGAGAGAAAGACGGGTGGCCATAAATGGGAGCATAACCAAAACTGTTTCTGAGGCATCCATCTAGACCTGGGACTGCACTGACTGGGCCCTCTTCATTTTGAAACTGATTCTTGATATCGAAGTAACTCTGACCTTTCCAAATACATTCCAGCAAGAAGTACATCACTCACTTGGTGAAGGGCAGATTCAATTTCTTCAGTACGGATTTAGCATCTTACCTGAACCGTCCGTCGGACCGTTCCACGCCCAGGATAATCCCAGCCAAAATCCACATCGTTCCGGCTCCTCTCTATGATACCATTCTGCTGAAGGTGATAAGGACTTCGATGAAAACTTCACTGCAGCTCCCTGAAGCCTTCTATCTATCCATTCAAACGAGTCAACAATTTCTTATGGGAGTCAGGTACATGGCTCATACCAGATCAACCTAAGTTTGCGTTCAGTTAAAAGGAGATTTCTTTATTTGTATTTACTTTCGAGCTTTGTAAACTATGGGCTCATCATATCAATTACACCGATACTGTGCTTCAAAAGTTCCAAGCATAACATCACATCATTTCTTGGAAATAAGGTTTCTTAAATGAAATTCCAAGTCAAACGGCCTTCAGCCAAACGAATAAGGCAATGAAACAACAGTGACATCAATCGATAATTATTTACAAGTAAACAAAAACCATCATACAAAGTTATAGGACGGTTATGCCTTGGAAGTCAGATTGTGTTGGTCCGGGATTTCCTGCTCATAAATGGAGAACGATGCAGATGTTACAGGTTTTTCAATCAAATTGAAGTCGTTGAGGAAGGCCCTGCATAGGCCCGGCACTTAGGCAGTAGGAGTACTTCTATGGGCCTTCATTTTTCGTTGCATTTGCTTCGTTCTCGAGCATTGCAGATTCCTCTGTTGACGAATCCGTATGCAATGTGACGCTGTCAAGATTCACATTTTTCGTTTCAACCTGGAACAAGTAATTATTTATTTACCACGATAACGATGAGTACTAGTTTGTTTGTAAACTCGTACTGACCAAGAAAAAGTAGGAAATAACGAGATTCACAAGTCCTGCGATGACCACGGCAAGATAGAGCGCTGGAGGCCAGTAAACATTGGCATAAGTCAGCTGAAATGACATGTTACCAACAGTGGATCGAAGAAGAAAGCAAGGATTTTCTGATTCCTCGGAAAATCTCTCAGAAATTGGTTTGTACACAAAATGAATTGGGAACCGATAACTTGCAAGTCATACACCGTGTCATTCTCGGTACCGTACACTGCAGTAGAGTACGGTATTCGTTCGAAAGAGACTGATAGTGCTGTAGAATCCTACTGTCCCTAGAGTTCCAGAATCTCGGATCATCCTTTTCCTGCCTCATATATCTCAGAAATTCGAGGAAAACACCTTCTTATTGTTTTTATTATTGTATTCTTATTGTTTTCATTCAAAGGCATTGGTATTCTCTACGTCCCACTTAAGAAAGTACGCTTTGGACAGCCGACATTTGAGCCGCAATCAGTTCTACTATGCTACCCTGAGCAGAGTCAGGCTATCTAGCTCCTCCAACTCTGAAAAATTCCAAATTCAACTTCTCGAAGGTTCGCGTGATTTTATGAGGNGAGGCAGCCGATACCATTTTTGGCGCACTCCCTTCACTTCTGAACCTCCCACTACCCTAGTCCTATAATGAAAACTTATCCTTCTTTCTCCTGATCTCCTAGCAGCTTGGATTCATTCATAACTACCTGCCCAAGGAATACCGTGTGGTATCAGATTGAAATCAGGAGCTGACAAGGTGCATACAAAAAAGAAATTAAGCTAATGAACCTCTATTTTTCGTGCTTAAAGAAGGATAAACTTACCACTGGAGCAATTATGGCGCCTACTCGAGCCATCAGGGAGCACGTTCCGGTGGCACTGGCACGACAGGACGTCTCCATGGATTCAACGGCACAANCCAACTCTGAAAAATTCCAAATTCAACTTCTCGAAGGTTCGCGTGATTTTATGAGGAGGCAGCCGATACCATTTTTGGCGCACTCCCTTCACTTCTGAACCTCCCACTACCCTAGTCCTATAATGAAAACTTATCCTTCTTTCTCCTGATCTCCTAGCAGCTTGGATTCATTCATAACTACCTGCCCAAGGAATACCGTGTGGTATCAGATTGAAATCAGGAGCCGGCAAGGTGCCCACAAAAAAGACAACTAAGCTAATGAACCTCTATTTTTCGTGCTTAAAGAAGGATAAACTTACCACTGGAGCAATTATAGCGCCTACTCGAGCCATCAGGGAGCATGTTCCGGTGGCACTAGCACGACAGGACGTCTCCATGGATTCAACGGCACAAAGGTAGCATGCATCCCATGTGTACTCGATGAAGATCGTACCGGTAACATTGATCACAAGAGTCGCAACACCCTAATGAACATTTGTTGACGATGATCAAACTTACCATGATACTAGTACTGCACTTTAGTAACAGCCAAGGAAGCAACTGTCTCTTTGTGAGTTCAACTGTCGAAAATCCCTCCAAATCGAGAAAACCAGACTTACCGAGTATCCCTGCATAGTGAGGAAGAACAATATGAGGAAGCAGAAGCAGACAACAGCCTGAGCGCCCTGGTGAAGTATTCTTCGACTGAATCCCGGAATAAATGTATCAACAGCGACCAACACCTAAATGGAGTTATTCTTGAGTTTTTGGCAGCGAGCCAACCCTTTCACAATGATGTCCTTCAGGCTACCCTCAACATCGTTACCATTTTAGAAAGTGCTATCAGAATCGAGTAAATGATTTGATTGAAGAAGAAATCGCCGCTGATTGTGTTCGAGTTCAGATCCGTAGCATAACCACAGATTGAAGCCACAAACCACATCGTCCATAAGACGAACAGTCGACGATGTAGGCTTTTCGTTTGCAACATTTCGCATAGTGTCTAAAGTAGGCACCTTCTTGAAAGTATGAGGACACATAAATTATCAAATTGGTCTACTGAGTACCGCTCTCTTCGTACGGTAACCAAGGCTTGATCAGATTGCCTTCACTTATCCTCAATTTTGGACTCCTCCTTCCCACCACTGCCCAACCTTTCCCTCCCTCCCCCCCTCCC